TGGCAGGGCTGGTACAAACACCGGTACAACCACGCAAGCAGAAAGGCTGGGAAGTCACCCACCGCACGCTGGAAACGATACGTCACTGGAAGTAGCGCCAAACCTCTCCCATCGTCTCTTTTCGAGCTAAAAACTGGATCTAGAAGCGAACGCGCAAGGACCCGAAACGCCTGACGGAGAAAAGAGCACAAATTTGAGAGTCAACTGAAAAAACGTAACAAAAACATGCTTCTGCGCTTCTAAAAAGTGCTTAATCCATGGTGCGCACCCGTAGCTCAGCCCCGAGGTGCGAAGGCCTGACGGACGAGTACTACAACCAAAATAAATCGATTTGGGTAAGGCAGTGAAAGAGAGGGCGATTACAGACCCAGATCCATCTCCTGATAAAGAACAGCTCCTAGTCGTCTCTCGATAACAACCACCGTCGCAACTACGGCAACGTTTCTTAAACCTCTGAATCAGATGATGAGTTTTTGTACTTTATTGTAGCTTTTATATAAAAATTTTTCATTCAAGGACTTTCATCTCGATTTGTGCCAATCACTTCATAAGTTCATTAGTTTACAAATGATTGCAACAACCCGTTAATAAAATGGAACACCTAAAAAGGTTTTTAGTATTTTAAATAACTTCAAGCTTCATACTGTGGCTCTTTCTTGTTAAGGATGTTGAGCCAACGAGTAGCAGGAACAGCCCAGCAAGTTCTGATGCCCCAGTGGAAGTGACTAGTTACAAGGTTTTATTGGCACAGCCTTGCTCTGCTTAAAAGAAAACAGGAAAAAAAAAAAGGAAAATAAAACAAACAAAAAATTTAACATAATCTAAACAAAGAGCATCTTTTCCAAGAAACAGTTCATATTCTCATACAGCCATGAAAAATGTTTAATGACTTAACATACATGTGTTTTTCCTATATCATTAATTTGGAAACACTACAAATGCTGTCATTTTAGACCAGAAAAACTACCGTGATTTGCAAGACCTGACATCTCCTAAAACAGTATTAAACAATGTATTAAACTTCTTGGCTTTAAATGAAACGATACAACGCAGGTCTCTGCAGTCTGCATTTTGCAAAAGGTAAGAAATACACAAAAGTGTGTGAACGACTCACTCCTACCGAATGGTCTTCAGTAACTTGATAGCCTGCTGTAGGGAGCTTGCGCTTTCAAATAAAAAAGAGGGAGAAGGGAGGGCGTGGCCCAAATATGCTCAATCCATAAGAACAAACGTGGTGAAGGCCCAAACTGCTCAGTCCAGATACCTAAGAAGAGCGGAATGGTAAGGCTGTAACTTATACTTTACGTGTCAGTTGACAGATTATCCACTAACTTATCTAATAGCTAAAGTCTTCAGTACGGCTGTTATAGGGGCACTCATAGCTTGAGTCTGTGTGTTGGAAAACATAAAAAAGAGCTTGTTTTGTTGACATTGGTCCAGGCATATGACAGTCCTCAGTATTAGCCATCTTCTTTCGGAGGAGTGTACCAGCCTACAGAGAACAGAGAAACGTGTTAGGTACTGACACCGCTACATCAAGACAAACTTACCATCTTATTCTGAATTTGTGGGAGATGGAAGTCGGATCGGGCTCCTTCCTCCCCTCTGAAAGTAGGCTGGCTTAGTGAGACCCAGTGCCCTAAACTCTAGTGGTCTGCAGCAGGAGATAAAGCATGTGGCAGGATCAGATCCAGTATTTGGGCATGAAAATTAAATACTTCCAAGTTTGGGTTTTTTTTGTGGCAGCAGCTATCCAGAGTTGGACAAGCTGAACATCAACACAGGAAGCTGTTGAAGGAGGAACACTGGTGCATAACAAAACCATATGGAATACAGGTAAAACCCTTGAGTCATGCATAGACACACAAACGTGACTACACTAGGATACTTAAAAACAAATCCCATCTCGTGTACTGAAGAGTTAGGCACACAGAAGCATTGGAACCATCTATCCTACTTCTGCAAATTTTGCTGTAGGAATGGGCTCAGAAATGCCAGTTGAGTAACTTGCCTCCTGATAGGATCTGGCATGTTTAGCAGTTGAATCACATCTGATCAAGCGTGCACAGTTTTTTCTAGCCACCTCCAGATCTCCAATCTGAATTCTCTCAGCCACTACTGTAAAAAATCCTCTAAGTTTTTGTACAGAGAGTACAGGCCCTATTTGTGCTGCCCCAGAGAACAGGTAGCAGCTAGATGTTAAAGCCACCTTTCGCAGCAGCAATAAATGCTATGAATGCTCTGTGCCCAGCTCCTGACGCAGCACTGCAGCCAAGGCTAGCATATAGCTAGAAGTAAAGAGACTGCCATGCTGGCTTTTGTAGCAAACTAAAAAAGCAAGAGACTCAGTTAATGGCAAGATCAAATTATCAGAAAACTGGGAAGCATTTTAAAGTATTATCTACGATCTTCCCCCAACAGTAGAGAAGGCATTGTGTTCCATTTCAGAGGTAGGGAAACCAAGGTGCTCACCACAGTCACACTGAAGTATGCTCTCATGTTCACAGCAACATGAATTCCCAGGGCAGACAGTGTCCAACTCAGACCAAAGAACATCACTGAAATGGTAACTGGGACTAACTTCCTCATTAAGGGACCAAGGTACCACCTCTGCTGACTGCTTTTACATAACATGTAAGCCACTTAAACCTTTCAAAGTCTCAAGTCAGTTGTTGTCGTCTCATGCTGGCACAACGAATGCAATTATACCTGAAGCATTTTAATACTTTTTTTAGTTTTATCCAGCTGAGAGACCATTAGCTGACTTTAAATAGGGTAATATATATATATATATATATATATGTGCCTCGCATTTCTATTGCACAGTTTTCCACCCAGTGCACTTCACTTGGACTTTCTCATTTTTTTAGTCTCTGCTCTCTTTTTCCACTTTCTCTCTCCCTTAACGATTGCTA